GTGCCTGGCCCATGTGCACCACACGTGTGCAAGGATGCTACAGCGGGGAGGCAGCTCCTGAGGGATGATCAAGGCACAAAATAAACATGTTCTGGCAGTGCTGTGGCTGTGCAGTGTGTTTTCTCCCAAGCGTGCTCCTCTCCTGACCTGTGCAGCAGGAACATCACCGCAGCCCAGAGGTCCCCACTGAGGGACAAGGGCTCCTGAGGATGTGGAACCGTCTCAAGCCACAGGACCAGGGCCACTGCACAACAGCGCCAAGGTTTGTATCTGGCCAGGACTGTCCCAGGGGCATGAGCCCAGCCTGGCCCAGACAGCTCCCCAGTGTGCTCTTCCACCCCCCCCAGTTGTGTTACGCCTCTCCCGCAGCCTCCCCGCAGCCCTGGCGGGCGCTCTGGGCTTCCCTGCCTGCCCCGCCGGTCACATTCTGTGTTGGCAAGTCCCCAGCTCTGCCTTGGCAGAGCTCAGCCAGGCTCAGCAGTGCACTCCCCACTGCTGGCATGGAAGAGCCCAGCCACAGGATGGGAGCTCTGTGCTGGAAGAAGAGATTTTTTCCACAGCAGCCACGTCTAGTGTGTACTCGCCGGCTTAGCACAGCCCCAGCTCCCTGGGAAGCAGAGTCACAACCAGGCAGCAGTTATTCCTATTTTATTTTGTATTTGCAATAAGCAGTTTAAAGGAAACCGAGGGAACAAGCTTCATCACCCAGTTCCCTGTCCAGACAGAGCTCTGCAGGCCTGCTAGCCCCATGTGCTGCAGACAGGCAGGAACACAAAGGAACGCTAGCCCAGGTGAGATCAGTGATAACTGGTGCTCCCCTGCTCGGAGCCCCCCCGCCTGGCTGCAAGGCTGGACGGAGCAGAGGGGGCACAGAGGGTCTCCGGAGGCAGCAGCCGCCCCGTGCTGCAGGAGGAGACCCAGCCGACTGGAGCAAGGAGGGCAGCGGGGCAGGGTGCACGCAGGCTGCTTGTGGCTGCCACGCAGGGATGGTTCCCATCTGTTTGCTCCCAACATGCCGTCAAGCTCTTGAAATCATCTTCAGAATCACCTGGGATGAGGAATCAAGCCCTGTGAGCAGTGCCTGGCCCTGCTCCTCCACTCCTGGAGATGACAGCCAGTCCCGAAGCGCAGCCCCGCACCCACCCCGGTATGCAGGGGAAGCTGGCCTCGACACAGCCCTCCTGGGCTGCTGATCTTAGCTGTGCCCAGTGAAGGGGGGGCGGGAGTTCTTCCCCCACCTGAGTGAGGACATAGCTGTCCTCCGACAGCTTCTCAATGATGTCAAAGTGATCCACACCACCAAGATCCAGCAGGGAGACGGACCAGCCGGCTGCACGCAGGGCCTGCGGAGAGAGCGGCGCTGGCAGGGGGGACCCCAGCCCCGATCCGCCCTGGACAGCGTGGGAGGCAGTGTCCTCCCTTGAGCCACTGTTGTCTTCAACAGCAGCCATCGCCACAGCAGCAGAAATACTGCTCTGATGCAGCACACGAGCTCTTCATCCCAGCTTAGCATGTCCGAGCGGGACACCTGGAGCAGCATCCCCGTGGAGCGAGGCAGCGTGCTGCTGGGGGCTCACCTGGCCATACTCCTGCGACTGCCTGCGGAACTCCGGGGAGTCGTGCTGGGCCACAGCCATGAGCACCTCACAAGCCGCAGCCGCAGGCACTGCTGGGGTGACGCACAGCATGGGGCTGTTCCTCTGGGCGACCTCCCTGGAGGAGACACCGCAGCGGCTGCTGACGTAGTCCCTCGCTCGGAGAGGGCATCTTTGCCAGCAGAGCACCCGTGTCCTCAGCTGCCTGCACCTAGTCGGGCCAGGCGCCGAGGCAGGCAGCTCCCCGCAGCGCGGGCAGGCTGTGCGGGCAGGGGCAGAGTCGCCTGCAGAGCCGCTGGCGTCTGCTTGCAGGCTGCACTGGCCAAAGCCACATGTGAGCGCAGCTTGCTTGTGCCCTTTCGCCGTCGCTGTCCCCACAGTGCGCGGGCTCACCAGCTCATGTTCAGTGCGTCGTTCACGTAGGTGTGCAGGATGGGCTCGAGGTCGTACACGCCGCTCACCAGCACAGCTCCTG